TGGTCTCCTTCCATATTTGCTTTTCTTTCTGCACACTGGGATGGTTTGTTTCTGCGCCCTCAATAAGGCTTCTTTAAAATACAGCCAGCTCTCCTGGACTCCTTTCCCTCTAATGTGTTGCACAAATTGTTTGAGCTTCTTCCATTATGATCAACAGCTGATCACAAAAAATCTGATGGAGTCTGCTCTACAGACACGGTGAACCTCTTCACATGAACAGGTCCCATGAAAGAGGACTGAGCAGCTCAGTTGCAGTGAAGAGCAGGCCATATTTCCAAAGTGATTTTTTTTTTAAAGTTTCTTTTGTTTTTTCTCCATTATAAACAAAACCAGCTACAGCAATAACTAACAGAGAGCACCTCTGTCAGAACCATTGGCTGCTTTTTGAAGTGAGGCAAGAAGAAAACTGCACAGTCTACTTGTAGAAAGTAGAAAAAGGCAGTGTTCCAAGAGTGTAAATTGCTTCATTCTGATCTGTTGCTTCTTGTCCGGTTGACAGAGGACAGGACATACCCCAGTTGTCTCTATTAGTGACACACTCTCTTGCCACAGAAGATACCTACATCTGGACTGATACAGAAAAGTCTTTATACATGCTACTTGATAGTCTAAGATATATTTGTAATACACCTGTTAAGAGCCAAGAAAGGTTATACATTGAGATAAAGATTTCAAATTAAATACCTGCACCAATCATAGTGATTGGAGATTCGATATATATCCATTCATCAGTATATATACCAGAGTGAACAAAGATAAGTCCATCAAAATGAGCTTCCTGAACCCCACCGAGGGCATCCTCAATGGTGTCATAGTACTAAAAACAAACAAACAAAATACAAACGTGAGTTTCGCAAAAAATAACGATGAGAAAGGTATACAAATATTCATATGAAGTGATTCAGGAACATACCAACATATTTTCTCTTCCTTTATATCTTGCAGGGTTACTGTAGAAGTGTTCAGCAAAGCCTGGCTTTACATGTGCTCCTTTGTACTGAAATAGAGAGAATATCTCAAGATAAACCTATAGCTAAACAAGCTTGTTATATATGTATGTATATATAAACATTTTAGAAAGTAAATCAGCAAAAGGGTATAGTTGTAATAGTTTGATAGGTTCCGTAACATAATTTATATTTTGAAAATATGTTCACTATACATCTGGATTCCATGAGTTGCAATTTCCACCAAGTACGGATACAAAAATTTGCATCCCTTAGCTACATTTTAAAGTGTTAATTAGGACCAAGGAAGAAGTTGTAATGTTAATATTGATATCAACAAATAAGCAAGCAGTAAAAGATCCAGAATTTTTAAGATGAGAAAGGACCATCATGGCCATCTTATCTGACCTCCTGCATACCACAGACCATAGAAATTTAAGTCATTCCTGAATCAAACTCATAACTTCTGATTGAGCTGGAGTATATCTTTTACAAAACATTAAATCTTGATTTAAAGACTTCAAGTGATGGAGAATCCATAGGTAAGTTGTTTCAATAGTTAATCTCCCTCTCTGTGAAAAATGTGTGCCTTATTTTAGGCCTGAATTTGTCGAGGTTCAGTTTCCAGCCACTGGATGTTATGACTTTGTTTGCTAGATTAAAGAGCCTTCTGATATCAGAAATATTTTTCCCCATGCAGGTACTTGCGCATTGCGATCAAGTAACTTCTTACTAAACTTCCCTAGGATAAATGAAATATACTGAGCTTTAATCCCTCAATGTACGGCACACTTTCACAGACCTCAGATTATTCTCATAACTCTTTTTCAAGCCCTTTCCGATTTTTCAACATCCTTTTTAAATTTCAGTAATGATCTGATCAGTCCTGTATACAATGGCAATATCACCTCCCCACTTATACGTGGTATTCCTAGGCTTATACATCCAAGGATTGCATAAAAATAAAGGTAAAAACACACATGATCCTTTCTTTTAAAAAGCGCTTGATTGCATAAGGTGGAAGTCAGAAAAAGGGAGCAAAATTCTCATCTTATCAAAATTTGGATAGACCATGGTAGCTTTTCCCACCCCCCATTTTCATTCTGTGGCCACCTGCCACATTACCAAAGTGGGGTGGAGATTTTATTTTAAACAAATCTTTCAACTTCCTTGCAGCTTTGCACCTGATTTTTCTGGGCTAACCATTAGCCCCATACTTATAGCCAAACCAAGTGCCCTTATTCAACAATCTTAGAACATGAATACTATTATAAATATTAATAAACTAACTCAATATCCTACTTTATTACTCCTTTACACACATTTTGGAAAGCGTGGTGCCCACCCATTATTATATTTTGGATTAGAATTCCCATCATTTGCCTTAAAAGATTATTTGCTGCTAAACTCCTGCCACATAAGCTGTAATGTCCTCTCTCGTTCAAGACCAAGTGTTACAGTCAATGTATTCTGAGCTTACTAAGGAAAGTGCACCAAATATTAATGAGTCAGTTCCATTATGACAACAAGACTACATAGCCAAGGGCTATGACAAAGCTCTATAGAGTCAATGATGAACACGCTAAGAAGAACCTCAATTCACATCCAGAAACATTGAGCTGGCAAGCTCACCAGAAGCTCCAGCACAAGAGGTCAAATTTCTGCAAAGAGTGGTCCAAGATAAGTCACTTGGATACAGGCACCTTTTTCAGACAGGTACAATGATTTTTTAAATCATGGTTTATTATAATATTGCACCATAAAGCTGAAAACCTTCTACATCACCATCAAAGCTTGACAGGAATATGGTGTTTTAAAAGGTGACTTGCAAATGTAAAATTCCCTCAACGTTTCAGTAACTTTGTCCGTGTGTTTACTGCCCAGCATAATCAAGCTAAGAGGAGCAATACAAAAAAGGGACCCACCCCACCCCAAAATCCCACAACTTTTTTTCCCTTTCAGATTTTAAGAAAATCAACATGCAACTAGTCTCTCTTAGTCTGGCTGTTGAGGGAATCCTACACGTATTGGCTTAGTTACTGAAATCTTGTACTTCACCTTTGCAAACTGTCTTTAAATTACAATATGGAATCTTTCTGGGGATGTGAAAAAACAACATTCATACCAGCTGCTGAAAGCTTTCTTTCCAGGGATTTGGGTGTTCATATTCTTCTGGATTAATCTGATAGAATTTACCAGATTCTGGATGCATCATTGGACGTGTATATTCAAATACTTCCATATACAGTCGTTTCCTAAACAGAAGTGTCAGTCAATCAGAACAGAAAATTGAGAATGTATTTAAATGGTACAAAGTTGTAAATCAGGTGTATCACAATTACAACAAACCTATTTAAAATCTTAAGGGAGGAATTTTCAAAAGCATTCATTGTTTACTCTACTCCCACTGAAGTCAATGGTAAAACACCATAGATTTCAGAGTTTGGCCAATATTGAGTATTTTCAAAGATCTCAACCCAAAGTTTTAAAACCAAAAATATTTTAATGGTGCTCATAAAATTAATGAGTAAAAGTGGCTTTAAGTTAAAACAATTCTAGTTGTTGAAGACTAAAGAGAAAAGACACTGCTGCATTTTGTAACATTCATTTGGTGCACATTTAAAGGCTCAAGTCAGCAAAGGACTTAAGTACATGCTTAATATTAAGCACATTACATGCTTTTCTAAATAGAGAGATTTAAGGATGTGGTTACATGCTCTGCTGAATCAGAGCTGAAGTGTGTGCTAACATAAGGACAGAAAGGTTATGCTGCTCTGTCCTTTCTTCAAATTTTGCTATTCTTCTTACTGATCATCACCACACCCCAAAAACAGCTACCAAATATCCTGCATGAGTAAATGACGCGCTGCATTTGGCAGTGCAAAGGGAAAGTTACTCACCTTGTGCAGTAACATAGGTTCTTTGAGATGTGTGTCCCTGTGAGTGCTCCACTTTAGGTGCTTGTGTGCCCCTGTGCTTGTAATCGGAGATTTGTGGTAGCAGTGCCCGGTTTGGTCGCACATGTGTCATCCCCGTCTTGTGCCGCTTCAAGCAGTTATCTGGCGGTGTGCGACCAACCAGCCCTCTGTTCCTCCTCCACTGCAGAGCATTTAGTGTACATCTCCAAAATAGCAGGGAGGATGGAGGGTAGTGGAGCACCCACAGGGACACACATCTAGAAGAACCTATGTTACTGCATAAGGTGTATGTATGCGCTGATGCCCAGGTTACAGCTCTACAGATGTCAGTAATGGAAACACTGTTTTGAAAAGCTATTGACGTTGATATTGCCCCGGTGGAGTACATGCAAATCCCCATATGGGGTTGCAGGTTACATTGACAGTAACACAGTTTGATGCAGTTGGAAATCCAGTTGGAGAGCCACTGTTTAGATACGGCGTCTCCTTTTAATCGTACAGTGATTGAGACAAACAGTTTCATGACCTCGTTATGTCTATGTAAAACGCCAGGGCCCTGCGTAAATCGAGGGTATGGAGTATGGCTTCCCGCCTGTCCCTATGTGGTTTTGGGTAGAATTTTCGCAGGTGAATGGGTTGGTTGAGGTGAAATGATGAGATGACCTTAGGTAAGAACTTAAAATTACCCTTGGGCCGCATCCTATCTTTGGAGAATATTGTGTAGGATGGATCAGCCATGAGGGCCCCAAGTATTACTATCCGCCTTGTGGAAGTAATGGTGACAAGGAAGGCCACCTTCATTGAAAGGTGAAGGAGAGAACATATAGCGAATGGCTCAAAGGGTGTCTGGTAATTTCCCAGAGAACTAAATTGAAGTCCAATGGTAGGGTAGATGATGTTGAGGTCCTTGAGAAAGCACTTGTGGCGGAATGCTGTGATAGTGAAGAGGTGTACCTTGATTGAACTCATTGAAAGTCCTGATTCCTTGAGTTGAAGTAATAGTCCAGAATCACAGGTAAGTGAGAAGAGATCGATATGATCTGCCTCTTTTGACACCATGAATTTGTGTAGATGTGTGTGACAGATAGTTGCTCTGTGACTATTCAGTAAAAGGTTCTGCACGTCTTTGGAGCAGGTCATTTCGGATCCTTGGAACCAGGGAGCAACCAAGCTTTGAGCCATAGTCTTTTCAGATTCGGGTGAATGGTTTGGCCTGTGTCCTGGGAAAAGAGACGAGGCAGGCGAGGAACAGTGCCACGTTTCCACACTAACATTTGGAGCAGGTAAGGGAACTATTTTGACAGGGCTATGTGGGAGCAATTAGTATCACTGTGGACTAGTCCTGTTTGATCTTGTGGAGTACCCGTGCTAGAAGGGGGGTGGGAGGAAATGCGTATAGGAGAGGAGCATCTCATTTGATAAGAAAGGCATCTCCCAAGGACTGGAGGTCCAGTCTGGCCCTGGAGCAAAACTGTGGACATCTGGCATTGTGCGTGGTAGCAAAGAGGTCTACTGTGGGGAATCTTCATTGTTTGAATATGTTGTGCAGTATCCAGATACCCAGTTCCCACTCGTGGTCTTGAGAGAAATGCCTGCTGAATGCATCTGCTGCGGTGTTTTGATGTCTGGGGAGATATGATGCTGTGACGTGGCTATTGTCAGTGATGCACCAATTCCAGAGCCGCATGGCTTCCACACACAGGGAATGTGAGCATCCGCGGGGGCCTTGTCAGTTCATGTAAAACATGCATGCTTCATTGTCTGTAAGAATTTGTATAGTTTTCTGCTTGATCATGGGTAAAAATTGGGTGCACACGTTGTGAACAGCTTGTAATTCTAGGAGATTTATGGGGGGCTTCGGTTGCGGACCAGCTGTCCCGGGTAAAATGAGAAGTCAATGTGCTCCCCAGCCTAGGAATGATGCATCCATCACATTTGTCATTGTAGGGGAATTTTGCACAAAGAGCGACCCAAGGCATACATTGTCAGGTTATGTCCACCAGAGGAGAGAGTCTTTTACTGTGCTTGGCATTGTGAGGTGTTTGTTTATGCTATGCCTTCTTGGGGAGTATTGTGTGCAGAGCCATCCCTGCAAGGTCCGCATATGGACTCTTGCATCCTGGACAATGAAAGTTGTTGCAGCCATGTGGCCTAATAATTGTAGACAAGTCCTGGCTTTTGTCTAAGGATTGTTTAGTATTGTGGAAATTAGATTTGTTAGAGTTAGGAACCATTGCCTTGGTAGAGAGGCCGTTGCCTCAGGTGAGCTGAGATAGGCTCCAGTGAATTCCAGTTCTCTTACTGGTGTGAGGGTTGATTTTTGAGTGTTTATCTGGAGACCTAATTGTGTAAAGAGAGCTACCATTTGTTGGGTGGCCTTTATTGCCGCTGCTCAATTTGGCGCTTTCAGTAGGTAATCATCCTGATAAGGAAATATGATTCCTTTCCTGCATAGGTACGCTGCAATTACTGCGAGTACCTTTGAGAAGACTTGGGAAGCAGTGGACAGTGTGAAGGGTAGGACCTTGTATTGGAAGTGATCTGGTCCTAGAGTGAATTGAAGAAACCTCTGATGTGATGGGTGAATTGTTATATGGAAGTAGACGTCCTGGAGGTTGAGGGCCCCCCTTTCTAGAGATGGAATTATGGTGGCCACTGTGACCATCTTGAAGTGCTGGTTTCTCACAAATTTGTTGAGCCATCAGAGATTGAGAATGGGTCTCCACCCTCCTGTTTTTTTTTGAGAGAGTAAGTAATTTGAATAGAAACCCTTCTCTCTGTGTTTTGTTGGTACTGGTTCTACTGCTCCTAGATGGATGGAGATGGGTTACCTCTTGTCGCAGTAGGTCTTTGTGAGAGGAGTCCCTGAAGAGGGAGAGGAAGGGAGAGTGGAAGTAAATGGGATGGAGTATCCAACCTCGATTATCTCCAGTACCCATCTGTCTGTAGTGATGGATTGCCAAACTGGGTAGTATGGAGTCAGACGATCTCCGAATGGACTTTCAAGCAACGTCTCAAACTTGCTGTCTGGAGGAAGGTTGGTGAGATGTGGTAGATTGAGGTGGAGGCTGTTGTCTCTTTGTGGGCCCCTGTTTTCGGCCTTGTGGCTCGTATTGCCTGTGTGTTTGTGAATATGGCATGAGCCAGAATTTCTGTGGGTTGTAATACTTTCCTTGTCATCTCTTTGTCCTAGGAGTATAGATGACCAAGGACTTCAGTGTTGCCCTTGAGTCCTTGAGCCTGTGCAGATACTCATCTGTCTCAGCCGCAAAGAGTTTAGGCCTGTCAAATGACAGATCGTCCACAATCGATCGCACCTCGCTCAGGAAACAAAAGAGAGGCAACCAAGAAGCTCATCTCATAACTATTGCAGTATCTGTAGATTGCGCAGCAATATCTGCTGAGTCCAGAGCAGCATGTAATGCCATCCTGGAGATCAGTTGTCCCTCGGAGATGAGCGCTCTGAACTGTTCTTTTTTCTCCTCCAGGAGGAATTCAATAAATTTGGAGAACTTCCCATAGTTTGTGTGGTCTTATTTTGCCAGCGTTGCTTTCTAATTGCTGATCCGAAGGTGGTGTGTCGCGGAGGAGTAGGCCTTTCAGCCAAAGAGGTAGAACCTCTTCCAATCTTTGTTGTACGGGCTGTTTTGGGGGTAAGATTGTCTGTCCCTCTTGTTAACAGTGTCCACCACCACAGAATTGGGCGTGGGGTGAAAAGAGAAATTCTGTTCCCTTTGCCGGGATATAATATTTTCTGTCAGACCTCTTGCAGGAGAGAGGTATCATTGCTGGAGTCTGCCAAATGAACATAATGGGTTCCATGATTGCATTATTCATGGGAAAAGCTATTTTGGGAGATGTCGATGTATGTAAGATGTCGAGGAACTTTTGTTGTCACTCCTGGACTTCCTCCAGTATGATGTCCAGGGACTCTGCGACCCTCCTGTAGAGGTCCTGAAAATGTTTAAAATCACTGGCTGCCCACATTGGGTGGTTGGGGGGGAGGGAGGAGGAGGAAACGGGACAGGACGGGATGGACGGACAGTGATGATGGTGTCATCAAGGGAAGATGAGGACAGGTGGGTTGCTGGTTCCATCTCTAAGTCAGAAGTCTCCAGTTCTCTAGGTATCTCCTCCGGAGTTTCAGATGGTCCTGGTACTGACAGTATGGGATACTGTCATGTGCTCTCCCTGGATGGGCTGGGAGGCTTGCGATGGTGTGGGGGATATGCCATCCAAGGGTTCCTCGAGAATGGAGGAGCGGAGCGGCAAGGTGAGTAGGTACTGACTATGTTAGAGTGACGCTGGTGCAAAGAATGGGGGAGTCTGGTGTCGAGGAGACCAGGAGGTCCTTTTGCAGTAACTTCTGTAGTACCGAAAGGGTCACTGCTGATGTCTGCAAGGTCACTGCTGGTATGGGTGACTGCGTCAATTGTGTTGTGCCGATGGTAGGTGACGGCATAGTCATTAGTTGTTTTGATGTGCTCGGTGCTGGGTATCTAGTTCGCTCTGACGGTGCCAGGGCATGGATTGTCAGTTTCCCCTCATTGTCTATGTCAAAGCTAGCTCTCTTGGAATCTTTAGCTCTTGTGGTACCATGGTGCTGGAGGGTACAGGAACCTTGACTGCAGAGACTGCCGGTGCAGTCGGTACCGACGGTGTCTCTCTGTTTGGGGACTGCCATTTCTTGGTTGGTTCCCAAGCCAGTGAGGACAGAGCACACTTTTTAGCCACCTTTTTAGGTCTGTAGTGTGAGCCACAGAGGAAGAAGAGCCTCCTGTTGGTGTCCTGTCCAGGAGGGGGTCCGAACTTCTGGATCAGATGCTGGACAGAGAGACTTCTCCATCAGGAGCAGTTTGAGCAGCAAGTCTCTGGCCTTTCTGATCCAGGCATTTTAACTTCTGGCAGCGCAAGCACTTTTGGGGTGCTTGCCTAAGATGCGAACGCACTGCGAGTGCCCATCTGACACAGGTATCGAGAGCCTGCAGGTTAGGCAGCTTTTGAAACCCAGTGAACCGGGCATGCCCCTGAAGGGAATGTTCCCCCTCCTTATCAGGGGTCCTACACTAACCGTTAACGGAAACCTGAACTTCTAAATAAAGGAAGAGAAACACGTTCTTTTTTGGAAGAAAAACAGGGAGAGAACTAAATGGGGAAAGAAAGTTAATTATCTATAAAACTAGGAGTAAAGGAGAAGGGCTATGCTAGGAAGACTAAGCTCTGAGGCTGTCAGGGTTCCCTCCCCACTCTGAACTCTGGGGTACAGATGTGGGGACCCACATGAAAGACCCCCTAAGCTTATTTTTACCAGCTTAGGTTAAAAACTTCTCCAAGGCACAAATCCTTTCCTTGTCCTTGGATGGTATTGCTGCCACCACGAAGTGATTTAGACAAAAATTCAGGAAAAGGGCCGCTTGGAGTCCCTTGTTTCCCAAAATATTCCCCCAAGCCCTTTCACTCCTTTTCCAGGGGAGGCTTGAGAATAATGTGAGTACCGACGAGACCCTTTGTCCCTAGGACACTGAAAATCAAACAAGTTTTTAAAGGAAGAACTTTATTTCAAGAAAAAAGTAAAAGAATCACACCTGCAAAATCAGGATGGAAGGTAACTTTACAGGGTAATAAAAAGATTTAAATAGAGGATTCCCCTCTAGGCTCAACTTCAAAGCTACAAAAAACAGGAATAAAACTCCCTCTTAGCATAGGGAAAATTCACAAGCTAAAATAGAAGATAATCTAATGCATTTCCTTGCCTTTACTTACAATTTCTGTAATTTTAGATGTATCATTTCAGGTATGTTTTCAGGAGATGTTTTACCTGCTTAGTCTCTCTCTCTCCATCCAGAGAGGGAACAACAAAGAGAGCACAAACAAAACCTCTTTCCCCACCTGCCCCCCCCCAATTTGAAAGTATCTTCTTTTCCTATTGGTCCTTTTGGTCAGGTGCCAACCAGGTTATTTGAGCTTCTTAACCCCTTACAGGTAAAGTGATTCTGTACCTCTGGCCAGGAGGCATTTTATGTTACTGCATACATAAAGGTTGTTATCCTTCCCTTTATATTTATGACAGAGGTGCTGCTAAATGCTCTGACTCAAGCCAAAGGCAGCAAAGAAGGAACTGGGGGAGGGAGGTGTTGGTCACACAGCGCCAGATAACCGCCTGAAGTGGCGTGAGATGGGGACAGTGCACGTGAAACCCAACCGGGCACTGGTACCACAAGTCTCAGATTACAAGCCCAGAGACGCACAAGCACCTAAAGTGGAGCACCCACAGGGACATCATTTGAAGAATTAAAATTGCATCTGTCAAGGCTGATTCCCCACTCTGGCACTTTGAGTCCAGAAGGTGGGGGCTCACAAGGATTTTAAAAACAAATACTGGCCACTCCAGGCTTGTATTAAACTCCCAAGGTTACCACTTCTCTCTGATCTTGGATGGGTAGATGCTGCTACCACCCAAGTGCAAAATACCCCTTCAGAACCCAGGAAGGTGCACTTGGGAATTCCTTCCTGTGGGGTACCCTCAAGCCCCTTCACCCCGCCTCCGGGGAAGAGTGGAGAAAGAAAACAAAGGAAATCTACTGTTGCCACCAGCTAATTAACCAACGTGTGCACAAACCTCTTAGGACACAAAATCCAATCCTGTTCTTAAAAAAAGATAAATTTTATTAAAAACAAAAAGAAAGGAAATACACTTGAAAACTCAGGCTATTGCTAGATTTTAAAACCCACTTACAAAAACTAAGCATCAAGAATAACCTTCTTGAGGTCCAGCTTAAAGGTTACAAGCAAAACAAAAGCATTTGGGGTTAGCACAGAGGAGTCTACAAGCCAGAAAGAAATAAACAGAGATAAACCTAATCGCGTCTTCCTAGACATTTCCTGATCTACTTACATATCTGGGGTTTCTAATGAGTAGTTTCTAGGTATAATTTGATGATTTTTCATACCTGGCCCAAGCTGTTACAGCACAGCTGCAGTCCTCTCTTTGCTTCTCCCGAGAACAACAATAGACAGACAAAGGAGAAGTTTTTTCCCATTTTTAAAAAGTTCTAGCCTTTCCATTGGCTCTTTTGGTCAGGTGCCCACTCCATTTCTTTTACCTATGCAGGGAGACTTTTTAACCTTTTACTGGTAAGCAAGTAAAGAACCACTACTAAGAGGGATTTTATAGGTAACTGGCTGGCTCGGTGTCCATAAAAGGGAGTTTACCCCCGCCCCCACTTTCATTTATCACAGCATCAATCAATATATTAAAATAAAATAGTTTTAAAAAACTTGTGCACAATTGGATGGATCCGTGACTGGTCCTAAAATGTGGAGACTTTCACATAGTCATATCCTTTCGATAGTATAAGATGGAGCCTTGTTTTACAGGTATACTGTCACATTTCCATTTGAAAATGTATCTGCTGCTGTTACAAGTAACCCTGAAATTATTTGAACAGAAAGATATTCAAGTTCAATTTTTTTCTAATCTGGCATATTGGTTCTCAATTAAATAAGATTTTTTCAGGATCTCAATAACCCTAAAAAGAGAAAAAGTCCACATACCCAACACCAATGAATTCTTTTTAAAAATCCAAACAAATAAAAATCCTAGTGCACTTGTAGGCAAGATCTTCCTTAACACCTATAGGAAGAGTTTGCTATCTTGGACCAAGGTATACAATTCCCACACAAACTTTGGGTGGGGGGTGGGGGGGAAGGTACTAAAAGAATAGGTAATTGAACTTTCAGATAACATTATTAAACAGGTATAATTCTAGGGGGAAAAGTTTTACTGTTTTTAACTGTATGTAACTGATATGCTTATGCATATCTGCTTGTAACAGATAAAGCTTACATAAAAGTAAGCATATTAAAACACAAGCATTTGTTTTAATTTAAGCTAATTATAATGCCTAACCAGCATTTTAATTTTTCTATTGTACTTGGCATTTTGTGCAGCACATACAATATATCTCAAAATAATGAGGAATAGCTTTTCACTTACCACAAAATTGGATCATTAGCCAACTCACTGAAGCGTTTACACACACAAGCTGCTCTACAAAGATCTTGCTCCAGCAAGTAGGAAAAGATCTTTAGAACCACTTCATCTGGCAGTTTCTCCTGAAGATATTGTTCTGCAGGTGCTGCTATTAAAATATTAATGTACATCAGATTATTGATGCATTTAACCTACCCAGTTTCTGATTTAAAGCAATCCTTGACTTTCCCTACTATTCTAATGATTAGAGTGTTTTTTACACGATTAGTACTACAAATTGAAGGAGAAAAGCTATTAAACCTCACACAATACTAAACATTACACCCTCTGCAGCCTGAATCTGGCAGTATATTTAAACACTAAATTTCATTGACTACATGCAATCTACATGCAGAGGAAAGCATGAACATTCAGCATAATATGGAGGCACTGCATGTGACTCAATAGTTAAGATTAATTTAGACCGGGGTTCTCAAACTGGGGGTTGTGACCTCTCCGGGGGTCACAAGGTTATTACATGGGGGGGTCATGAGCTGTCAGCCTCCACCCCCAAATTCCGCTTTGCCTCCAGCATTTATAATAGTGTTAAATATAAAAAAAGTGTTTTTAATTTATAAGGGGGGGGGGTCACACTCATAGG